GTAGCTTCTGTTGTTTTATTCTGTTTATTGCAGACCCACAGCCAGTGCAAAATATTTTGTGCTCACTTGAGGAGCAAAACAGTGTGGGAGTCACTGTCCTGAGTGAAAGAGAGAAGGGGAGGTATCTGTCATAAATGAGCCAGCCACCAGGGAAGGTTTGCAGCCAGCCCCCTCTGAAGGGTTGCAACCAGATCCCAATGAAGGCTTGCAACAAGCTGAAGAAAGCTGCCAGGAACAGAGGGGGTTAACTGCCAGGTAGGATGAGCATCAGCGAGTGCCAACTTCCCCACCCCTTGGAATGCCAGTTGATAAGAGAATGGCTGGGAGTCAGCCAGAACCCAGCCAAGGCTATACTGGCGTGAACACAGAAGGAAACAGTTTGTCAGAATGGGAAGAGATTGGAGCTGAGCCAATCCCTCCCAAGAATAGACTAAGGGGAGGGCTGTTAGACTGGAAACAAGGCAAAAGGCACAAAGTGAGAAAGTTCAATATCTTCTGTAACCAGAACGGAAGCTCAGAAGGGTCATCATGATTGATGAGATTGGCAGCTTGTTAGAGCCGTCCAGAGAACTGTTTCTTTTTGCAATAATTCTTCCTTTTTAATTCACTACGCTTGCTGTGTTTTCAAGACAGGAACCGGGACTCCTGAAAACCTAGTATCTAAAAACCTAGATTGGTGATTTTGGAATTGGATACCTTTAAAGCCCCAGATTCAAAATGTTTAGCAAATGGAGGATAAGGCTATCAATAGCCACTAGTTGGAGTCATTATGTCTCTGGATACCAGTTCCTGGGAATCACAAGTGAGAAGAGAACTGTTGCAGTCAAATCCTGATTACAGGCTTTCCATTGGCATCTGGGGTGGATCTACACACAGTGGAAAACCCCCGCTATAAGTAAGTCAGAAATTAAATTGTTATAACAAAAGGGGGGAAAACACTATGGAAAATCAGATAGAAATTTTCTTTTGCTCTCCAGTGCCATCTGGTGTTGCATGTTTATAACACATTCAAAACACTGTTTTTTTTTACTGATGTAGCTGAGTCCTTGGTTGGCCACTGTAAGACCAGGATGTTGAGCAAGATGGTGTGATCCAGCAGGGCTCTTCTTATGTTTTTACATCTCTTCCCTTTGTCTAGTTGACACACATATTTGCCTTGGACTATAACCGACAGAGAAACAGGCCATATATCTCATACCCTTGAACATTCTGAACTACAACAATGCTTTGGGAGCTTCTATTAAATGACTTAGCAGATGCAATCTTATTTCTTTTATAAAAATAAATGAAGACAAGACAGGAGAGAAGATCAGATAAGTCAAATAAACCTGGCAGAAGTGGTCTAAAGGTTGATTTAACCTTTCTGCAGGTGCTATAAAGGATAAGTCATCAGTTTAAAAAGAAAAGAAAAAAATTCAATGAATGCTCCAAATGTTCTTAAAAGGCATTTTCATTAACTTTGGTTTCCTTCAAGGCTCCTCTAGTAATTCATTAGAGGCATCACACAAAATGAAATGAATGGCACAAAAAGTGAGTTGTCTGTGGCAGAAATTATATTTGTGTCAGGCTTTTGTGGTCCTACTTTATTATAATAGATTAGGATCATGGATGTATGCATCAGAATACCCTGGGTAGCCTCTGGGAAAAGGGACCCAATCCTTTTCAAGGTTGGAACAAGTGTTTCCCCGTGATCAAAACAATCCAAACCTGACTGCAGACTGTAGTAGTGACTAGAACAATTTGAGCCAATACAATGATTTGGGGATGACATTTCCCCCTTCCACAAGTTTTGAGAAGAAAGTTCTCTGCTGAAGGCTATCTGCTCTCAACTAACCATTGCAATGTTTTACATTTCAAAAGGAGCTTCAGGTGGGGGCAGTTCAAAGCAGAGAATTGATAAGGGAAGCGGTGCTTAACCCTTTCCCCATCTGATATTTCTCCACTTCAAATCAATACACACACACACACACACACACACACACACAGCAGTTCCCCCTAGGAATCCAAAATTGGTTTTAAGAACCCACCTTCACTCACTACTTCTCCAAATTGAATTCTCCCTTTCTGAAGTAGTACTCCCCCCCCCCCATTTATTTATTTATTATTATTATTACAAAAGCCAGGACTGAATCTTTTCCTACCTAGGGATGCCATACTTCTGGATTTTCCAAGACATTACCAGGATTTCAAAGATGGAACTGACATCCAGGGGGAGGGGGGATTCCCGAAAGTTGGCAACTCTATATTCCTACCCCAGAGGAATACCAGCAATCCCAGTTACCAGAGGCAAGGGAAGTGTGTGTGGCAGAAACAGTGGCTGTGGCAATGGGATGGATTTTCTGACAGTCCACTGTGGGATAAGGTGTGATCTGACTCACCATGCCATACAACTTGCTGCAGATTAGGGATACAAAGTCTAGCAGTTTAAAAAATGCCCCGGAAATGTATCTTTATATCAATGGAATCCCCCCCCCATACCAATTCAGAAGCTCACAATGTTATTTGCAAGTGTTATTTTACCAAATGCCTCAAGGAAATCAACAATCATCTGACTTGTAGAAGACATCTGAAGGCAGCCCTGTTTAGGGAAGTTTTTAATGTCTGATGTTTTATTGTATTTTTAATATTTTGTTGGAAGCCGCCCAGAGTGGCTGGGGAAACCTAGCCAGATGGGCGGGGTATAAGTAAGTAAGTTACTCTTTGTTCCACACTTGGTTTTTCAGTATGGCCTCCCCTAAACTTTAGAAGCCCCTGCCCACTGATATTAGGCAAATACACTCACAATATTATCTTTGGTGCCTGCTTTAAACTTTTTTAGTTAAACAAGCCTGCTAATACCTGCACATTTGAAATGTATCTTAATAGGTTACTGGATGGCAGCTATTAACCTCTTAACAAACCAAAACAAAAAGCAAAACAAAACAAAAATCCCATGGGTTTTATCATCAGTTGCGCAAATTTCTCTCTCACCTCCCGTCCCTGCAGTATGAGAAAACACCTAAAACTATTTTATGAAGAAGAAATTAAGAAGAGTAGTTGTTACCGTACCCAAACTTTATCTAATTCAACCACAACTCTACCTTCATCTTCATTAACTCAAACTTTCTCTAGACATTAAACTAAATTAGGCCCTGTATTATCAGGGAACTGTTAAGATTAATTTTCAGGAAAACGCTATTCTAAGTGAGGGTCCTTTAAGTGAGCAAGCGTACAATCTGTCTACAGCAGTAAAGTTTTATCCACAGTAAAACACCTGAGTAACAAGAGGCAAGAAATAAGGCCATTTCATCATTTAAACTGCAACTACCTCTTTATTTCCCGCTACACTTTTTTTTTTAAAAGGCTTGGAAATGTTTCAAATTGAGACGGTTCTCCCACTGATAAAATACAGTGAAGTGGAGGAAAAAGCAGGAGGGGGAAATCAATACCCAAAGAATTACTTACTACTTTATTTTTCTCCTTCTAGATCTTATGCACTTTCTCATACTGTATGTGGTTGAACAGTCGTCTTCTTTTTTTTTTTTTAAGTGACATTATATTGTATTCTTATTTTTTGTGCCTGTCCTTTTGGGCAAGAATATATTTTGTAGATGCAATTCTTTCTTTTCTGTTTCATTTTTATTTGTTGTATGGGAAATGTATGAGGGGTGGGCTTTCTGTTCCTTTTCCTCTTCCCATGTAACCCCAAAATCTGCTCCAGAGAGCCCCCCAAAGATCGGATCTGATTTTGAGGGTTCAGGGGGCTGGTTTGGAAGGGACAGGAGAATTGGGCACATAGAAATTGCTTGCACAACCACAGCTGCAATGTTGGATACTGCTTATATTTTCTAAGGGGGTGGGGAACTACTTTCTGGTCTAGAGCAATCTTCTTTCTTTCTTTTTGTGAAGCCCCAGACATGCTTGGATTATAAAACTGTGGTGTTGCTTTTGAAAAATGTAAGATATTGATCCCAAACTTGGAGCATAGCAATTACCTCTTATTTTCTTCAAAGTTTCATCACATTTTGAAAGATAGGCATTCATGAAGCATTGTCAAAGCCGCCAGGAATGATTCCTTTCTGGTGCTCTAAAATTGGGTTGTACTGGATGATTCAGGAGGAACACACAGCAGTAAGCTTCACAGGCACACTGGCAACTTCTTACCTAGAGCACAGATCTTGCCAAGCCACTATCTTTCAAAAGGGCAAAGAGAGAGGAAAAAGGAAGGTTGCAGTTCTGTGCGCATGTGACTATAGTGCTTTGCAATGTCATCAATGTGGACACGGCTAATGACAAAGCATTTAATGTGTGGAGGGTCATGACACAGTGGCAAGACATAGAGCAGGGGTCAGCAAGGCTTACTGGGCATGGGCTGGATCACTGGGCTGGACCGGTGCAGCGCGACACCGGAAATTGCATCTGTGCATGTCTGTGGCGCCAAAAATTGCTTCTGTGCATGTCCGGACACCGAAAACCACACCTGTGCAGAAGCGATTTTCAGCATCTGGGCATGCACTGAAGTGATTTCTGGTGTCGTGGACATGCACAGACGCAATTTCTGGTGTCTGGGCATGCGCAGAAGCGGTTTCCAGAGCTGCAAAAGAGAGTCGTCGCGCCGTGTTGTGTCAGTTTAACACAGCGCGCGGGGACTCGCCAAGCGGATGGCTCAGTTCAAGGGCGGCTCGTGGGCTGGTTAAACGGCCTCTCTGGGCTGCTTCTGGCCCATGGGCCACAGGTTGGGGACCCCTGACATAGAGGATAGAGCTAGTATGCTCACTCCCATAAGGAGAGCACAGTCGTCCTTGGTTCTTAAATGGAATCCATTCCAGAAGTCCGTTCGAGTTCTGAAAACGTTTGAAAACCAAGGGCGGCTTCTGATTGGCTGCAGGAGCTTCCTGCACTCAGGCGGAAGCTGCGGAAGCCGCGTCGAATGTTCGGCTTCCAAAAAAAAGTTCACAAACACTCACTTCCGGGTTGTGGCGTTCAGGAGCCAAAACATTCAAGTCAAAGGGCGTTCGAAAACCAAGGTACAACTGTACTAGCTTTTTCCTGAGTTATGCATAGTGCTTGTTTGGAGGTTCTAGCAGGGGAGCGCAGCTATCGTATACCCTTGACCGAAGAACGGTACACTCCTTCTATCTGGGATGGTCGTCCTCTTCCACCGAGCGCGCAGCTTCGGGAGGGACGCACGTGGAGCGGTGAGGGAGGAAGGGGACACCTGCCTAGCCAGCCAGATCAGCCAAATCAACCCTGGCAATCAATGGGGTGACAGATGTTGCAGCCAGATCGCCCTCACATCCCTGAGTTATGCATAGTGATACAGCGGTTTCACCCTTGAAGCCCTTGTGATGAGAATTTGAAGATGACTCTTTATTAGCAGGATGGCAACTATTAGCAAGCAGTAGTATTTATGCATACGAAGTCCAATGCAATGTGTTTCTTCTTGCTTCTTGCTTCCAAAACTCCTTCATACCCAAGCATAAGTTATCGGTCCATTGCTGGCCTGTGTTCACACTCTGCAAAACAACAGCAAAATAACCATCTAACCTCCAATTTCCACCCCTCTTATCTACAACACACATGCACGCTCACTTTTAAAGGGAGTTAACAAACGAACAAGGCAATGATTCAGCGTTTCTGTGAGCTTAATTGGAGTCACAAGATTTTGCAGCTGTCACATTACATTGCATAGGTTTTCTTTTCCCCAGTGCAATTTATTCTTTGCAAAATACATTTTCTAACAACTACAGTACAAATACTAAGAGGGCGTAACCCCTGAAGAAGGTTCTTAACTCATACAGTGGTACCTCAGGTTAAGTACTTAATTCGTTCCGAAGGTCCGTACTTAACCTGAAACTGTTCTTAACCTGAAGCACCACTTTAGCTAATGGGGCCTCCTGCTGCTGCTGCGCTGCTAGAGCACGGTTTTTTTTCTCAACCTGAAGCAAAGTTCTTAACCCGAGGTAATATTTCTGGGTTAGCGGAGTCTGTAACCTGAAGTGTATGTAACCTGAAGCATATGTAACCCGAGGTACCACTGTATATCTGTTGAGGAATATTTTGTATAGTTAGTAAGAACAGGGTTGACCTAACCCATTTACATTTGAATAAATATGACCTTCTCACCATTGCTCTGTCTCTCAAGTATTTTTTTCAGTGTGTTGGTAATAGAATCTGGATGGGTGTGACCACACAAGAAATAATAATAATAATAATAATAATAATAATAATAATAATAATAATAATTTATACCTCCCTCATCTGGCTGGGTTTCCCCAGCCCCTCATCTGGCTGGGTTTCTCCAGCCACTCTGGGCGACTCCCAACAAAACTTTAAAAACACGGTAAAAGATTGAAAATTAAAAACTTCCCTAAACAGGGGTGCTTTGGGGTCTTCTAAAAGTCAGACTATGGGTGCATTCAGAATGGGTATTATTGCTTTAGTTTTCCTAGTTATAATGCTAGCAATTCTGTCCCTGTTTCCAGTGTTTTACTCTGCATTGTCTATTCTTTTATGAAACTGCAGTGTTTTGATCAGCAGACCACCATGACATGCTAAATTTCATTCATGCCAGTGGGCATCATGTGACAGAACAGCAGAAGTCACTGGACATGGTGCCACCCTTTATGGGCATGTCTGTTGTGCCATTACTAACCCATGAAAATAGCAGGAAATAACAGTATGTTGGAATACTGCCTCAGTTTTCATCACATGGCATGATCCATGAAAACAGTGGGAAAATTACAGTTCAAAATTACTTCATGATTTCCCAAGCTAATGGGGTTGCAAACAAGGTGGTTTTTTTCCCCCCTCTGGAAAAACTTAACTCAGAAATGAATGTTAAACTTCTGCTACATTTCCAGAAGTGGCTTTTACATTGTGTGATAGAGCACATAAAATATGGAAATTATCAGGTAAGGAAATATCAGGAAAGTAGGATAAAGTGCTGTCTGAATTAAGACTAATGCTGAACAGCCTTCCTCCTGGTAACTATGAATAACTTTGGGTTTTAGAAGAGTCCTAGACTGCAGTCCCGAGGGATGCGGGTGGCGCTGTGGGTTAAGCCACAGAGCCTAGGACTTGCCGATCTGAAGGTTGGCGGTTCGAAACCCCGCGACAGGGTGAGCTCCCATTGCTCGGTCCCTGCTTCTGCCAACCTAGCAGTTTGAAAGCACATCAAAGTACAAGTAGATAAATAGGTACCGCTCCGGCGGGAAGGTAAACGGCGTTTCCGTGCGCTGCTCTGGTTCGCCAGAAGCGGCTTAGTCATGCTGGCCACATGACCTGGAAACTGTACGCCGGCTCCCTCGACCAGTAAAGCGAGATGAGCGCCACAAACCAGAGTCGGTCACGACTGGACCTAATGGTCAGAGGTCCCTTTACCCTTTACCTAGAGTGCAGTCATATATATATATATATCCAGAAATAGGTCCTATTGAGTTCGGTACAACTTATTCCCAAGAAAGTGGGCATTGCAACCTTAATCTCATACTGTAGGGAACCTAATTTCAATATAACATCTGATTTTAATTGCTGCCTATTTTTTGCAAGTATTACATAGACAGGATTAGGCATTTTTGCATGTTTTTAGGGGTGTGTGTGAAGGCAACACCCACTAGCAGTACTGCAGGAATTTTAATATTCCAGTAAGGCCCAGGAAAAGATAATAATTTAGCATTAGAGAGTATATATATAGTCTCAACCTAAGTTAGCATATGTTTAGTTGAAATATTCCTAAGCTAAGCAAAATAAATGTCCCTCTCCTGTCATGACCCCATTCCAACACTGAAAAAAATGTACAGGGATGGGGTGAATTCTGAAGCCACGTGAAACTGCAATCCACTTAATTCACCATGTTGTTGTTGTTGTTGCTGCTGCTGCTGTTTTTCATTTCCCAATAATCACCCACCACAACCCAACAGCCTGAATGACATTTGTCAGAATCCTGCATAGCCTTGTTCTTGGGCAAGATAGAAAATTTGGTCATCAGCTGCAGGAGCCAAGAGGAGCACGAGGCTGTTACATGCCCCCAGCTTCAAAATTCATCCCACCTCCAAAAAGTGACCTATTATTATTATTATTATTATTATTAAAATTATTATCTCTGAATGAGATGATGTTCTTTTTTCATTATGCAGCCTAGGAATGTATTAGAAATAGAGATGCAGAGTTGCCAATAATAATCTTCCAATTCTAAATTCATTTAATTTCATTGTGTTTCTCTTCCCTGTTTCATGTTGGATTTAATAGTGACTCATAGGACTTTTATTTTGTCATAAGAATCAAATTCTAAAGCCTGTGACTATTGTTTCTGTAAGTGATAAACACACCTTTCATTTCACCCTGATTTGTAAGAGGTATTCTTTGAAAACTTGCTTGAAAACTTGCTTTTTCTAATTGTTATGGGTAGAATTGCCAACATCAAATTTCACCAAATGAAACTGCAAGATGAAGAGAAACAATCCATGGGAGGCAAAAGCACTTGATGAGATTAGCAAAGTAACCCATCGTCCCTCTCTGCAGGACCTGATCTCATATGGGTGGAAAGAGGTAGGAAAGGGATGTCAAAAAGAAAGAGAGAAGGAGATGGCAGGAAGAATAGAGAAAGAGAGAAGGAGATGAGATGGCAAAAGGAGAGGGGGGAAAGAGTAGTATGTGCCCCCCCCAGCAAAATAGTCCCTTGAATTATTCTTGAGGGAATGTGGCCCTCAACAGAAGAAGGTTGCCCATTTAAGGTCTGGGCTAATAACATTTAATAACACTTTCCACCTCATATGCCTTCATTAGTCACCACTGACATTGTATATTTTGTTTTGCTTTTGATGAATTAATTTTCTCTTATTGCCAGCTACCTTGGAGGTCTGCTGTTGGGGAGAAAAGTGGAATATGGATATTTAAAATTCATAATCATGTGAAGTTATCTTCTAAATAAAGTAGCACTGGATATCATTACTTGATGAAAAGCTAAAGGAAGACTGCACCCACTGTCTCACGTCTAGTTTGGGAAGGTTCCGATTGCCTCACATGCTCAGATTCAGTCACATCAATGTCGGAGGCACTCTCCCCATTCCCTCACCATGAAGATACAGCAGGTTAATATATGCATGGCCCCCTGATTTTCCATGGCGCAAAGACATAGCCCTTCTACAGAACATTTGTTGTGGGACTGGGGAAAGAGGGACTTCCCAGTTTGGATGTTAATTGTAAGGCATAGTTTGCCAGACTGAGAAAGTCAGCAGTAAAATCTGAGTGTGGAAGTGAGGAGAGAGGGAGTGCATGAGTCTGTCGCAAATTCCCAGTATTCCGGGTCATAATTTGAAAGATCAGAAAACAAACATTTTGTCCTTCCGCTCTGGCACATGGTCTTCTTCTTTCTTCTTCTTTGGCACATGGTAATGGGAGATTCGCCATGTCGATTGGGGACCTGTGGCCCTGCAGATGTCATTGGCTTATGCCTCCCATCACCCTTCATTGGCAATGCTGGTTGGGGCTGATGGGCGTTGAAGTCTGACAACATCAGGAGAGCTATGATTCCCATTGTGTTATACCAGGATCTGAAGCCTTAAGGTCTTGCTGCAGTGTGCTTTTAAAAAACAAACAACCAGAGGAGTGGAGGGTCTGGAAACCCCCAGTCATTTCTTGATATGGGCTTCAGAGACCTGGAACACTGTTGTGCAGATGTGGTTCACCTGGGGACCATGTGGACTCATGCTGTTTGCTATAGTTCTACACATCTGAGCCAAACAATGACCCTAAAGGCTTTTTGAGGTTTTCCTAGGATTAAAATGAGGATGATGAGATAGTCCTTCACTGTAAAGAATTACCCATGGAGACTAATTACTTTTTCTAGCTGCTTTATTTTCTTTTAATCTCCAGCATCAGAGAATACTCACTATAATTAGGGCTGAGACAAAAACGTCTCCCATTCGGTGTGTGAAATATGCTGTGAATCCAAGAATTGTAGTGTTGGAAGGGACCACTACAGTCATCTAGTCCAACCCCCTGCAATGCAGGGATCCCAACAAAAGCATCCATGACAGATGGCTATCCAACCTCTGCTTTAAAACCTCCAAGGAGGGAGAGTCCAGCACCTTCTGAGGGAATTCATTCCTCTGTTGAACAGTTTTTTATTGTCAGAAAATTCTTCCTGATGTTTAGTTGGAATCTCTTTTCTACCTTGAAGCCATCAGTTTGGATCCTATCCTCTAGAGCAGGAGAAACAAGCTTGCTCCATCCTCCATGAGACAACCCTTAAGATATTGGAAGATGCCTATCATATCTCCTCTCAGGACTCAGCTGTACCGCTGCAAATAAAACATTTTGAATGTATTGTAAAGTGCAATTTTCACGTTTTTAATGTGTGTGGAGATTCCACCTCAGTCTCCCCTTTTCAATAATAATAATGATGATGATAATAATAATAATAATAATAATAATAATAATAATAATTTATTGATACGCCTCCATCTGGCTGGGCGGCTTCCAACAAAAGATTTAAAATACATTAAAACATCATAAACATTCAACATACCCAACTCCCTCAACCGTTCCTCATTAGGCTTGGTTTCCAGACCTTTAATCATATTCTTTTTCTTTACCGTTTTAGTTTACAATGGTGCGAGCCAAAGTGGTGTTTTTGCCTCTAATAAATTTGAGTATTTATTCCATAATCTATACAATTTTTTCCTAATTACATGATTTATAAATCCTTTACGTACTTTCACCTTTTCATACCATAAATAAGTGTGCCAACCAAGAACATTATCATGGCTGTTGTGCCTCATTGCAAGGAAGCACAAAGCCTGGTTAAGTGCCAAGACCCCTAGAATCTCGCACCCCTCAACAGATATCGGAGAGACTTCTCACAATATCATTCCAGAATGTTCCTCTGGGATAGGCCCGCTTTAAAATGCACGAACTGAATGGAATTTCTCGCCCCACGCAAACTCTGTCTTGTCTTCACACATGCACACTTCCTTCCATCTAGGAGCAACAAGACCACAAGGGAAGGAGCCAAACAGTTGACTCCTGCAGCAAGACCCAGGATTTCCTTCCATGCTCACAATGGTTGGGAAAATCACTTCCAAGGATAAGATCATGACCCAGGAGTAGCATGTTTATAATAGGACCTTTATTAGAATCAAAGAAAAATATATCCAAGTCAAAAGCAGGTGTAACTTATCTATTTATTTGTATATTTTGGATTGTGGGTGTTTTTGGAGGGGAGCTGGGCTGGAGATTGTTTTCTGCCTGGAAGGAAAAGGAAAAGATTCTTATTTTTTTTCATTCACTATGCATTTATTATTCCATTGATATCCCCTTTTCCCTGCAAGGACCCCAGGGGGGCTTACGTGAGTCTCCTCCCCTCATCCCATCCTCACAACAGCTCTGTGAGGTAGGCCGAGAGGCAGTGAGCACCCAAGGCCACCCATTCAGTTCTATGGGTGAGGGGGGATTTGAACCCTGGTCCCCCAGTCCTGGTCCAGCAGTCTAACTTGGGTTGCCAACCCTTTGAACCGATGGGCACACCTGCAAACCTGAGAGACTGCAGTGGGCACTACACCGTAATGGAAAATGTAATGGAAAATGATTCTCTCTCTTCTTCAAAAGGGATGTCCCGGAAGTTCTTGCATCAGTGACCTGCCTCCTTCCTCCCCAGTGAGCCAGATTCTCTCTGGCCTCACTGTTCCTCATGAACACAGGTGATCTCTTACCTTAGTGACATCCATCCCCTGAGCCTTGAGTTGAAGATGGATTACTCTGATTTTGATTACCAGTTCCCTTTTTTTGGTCACAGCCACTAATTCCTCCTTCTTGTCCTCCTCTTCCTTATAGACCAGGACATCATGTTTCGGTGGGTCACAGTAGGAGGCCAGCAGCCTGCACAGCCTTTGAAATCTAGGGAAGAAAAGAAAGAAGGTCAGGTAATGGATTATAGTTATTTCCTCAACACTTTCTATCTCTACACTGCATTGGGGGCACCCGGCCGCTGAACTTGCTTTCAGAAACCTCTCATGGAGAGTGCATCTTGTCAAAAGACCCTCCAAAACTGGGAGATGCCCTTCTTGTGATGATGCCTACAAGGGAGAAGGCAAGCCATTTCCCTCAAAGCATCTAAGGTGGCCCTGAGGTGTTTTTTTGTTGTTCCAAAAATTCGCTCCTCTCGCCTAGACTAACTATCCTCAAATAGTTGCTCTTCCCAAAGTCTTCAGCCAAGTCACTCAGCAGGGGGACATGTCACAACGGAGGACATGACACCATTACTTTAGCTACCTTGCTTAACAATGGAACAATGGGCATCCCTCCCCTTAATATACATTTTAAAATGTATCTTTTAGTGGATTAAGCAGTTTTATTTAATTCATTAAAAAAAGTTCTAGACCCCTTTTCATGTAACACCATGATTTTCTGGAAAGGACAGGAAATGCACACAAACACACACACTTTTCAACATGGAGGGGGTCACCAAAGGAAAACACTTCTAGCCTAGACTATGGATGCTGTTTCTCACTTAAGAGTTAAAAATAACTCCTCTCAACACCCTGTAGTAATCTGTCTAGTATTATGATGGACAGGAGCAGGACTTCCTCCTTAGACCTCCTCATCCCCCTTTTTCTTTCAATTTCTGCCCAGTGTGTTCTGCCAAACAGCTTTCCTAAGGTTGCAAGGAAGTAAAATGTTATGAGTTTGTTGGTGTCTGTCTCCCCTTTGCCATGAGTTTCTGGGTGCTAGGCACTGAACCCCTGGACACTGAACATCTGGGGAGTTGATCTAAGCTTTGTTTAAATGTACCCCAAGCTCTACATTTGATTATTGGCTACTAGAAACTGGTTGAAACCATTGTATTTCATTCACACACAAAAATCTGACATGTGATTATGATAAAGGTTTATAGACAATGGGTGACACATTTATTGATCTTTTTGTATGTTATTTGTCTAATGTATAATTTATATATAGCAATCAATAAGGGGTTAGGACGGGAAGCAGTTTTGAATATGAAACTGGTGTATGGCTGTCATTAATTCAGATCAACTTCATAGAATCATAGAATCTTTGGGTTGGAAGGGACCCAGGGGTCATCTAGTCCAACCCCCTGCAATGCGGGGAATCTTAGTGAAAGCATCCATGACAGATGGTCATCCAGCCTCTGTTTAAAAACCTCCAAGGAAGGAGACTCTGCCATCTCTCGTAGGAGTCTGTTCCACTGCTGAACAGCTCTTGCTGTCAGAAAGTTTTTCTGAATGTTTAGTCGGAATCTCCTTTCTTGCAACTTGAAGCCATTGGTTTGAGTCCTACCCTCCAGAGCAGGAGAAAACAAGCATGCTAGTTCCTCAATGTGACAGCCCTTAAGATATTTGAAGATGGCTATCATATTTCCTCTCAGTCTCCTCTTTTCCAGGCTAAACATACCCAGCTCCTTCAAGCGCTTCTCATAAGGCTTCATTTCCAGACCCTTGATCATCTTCATTGCCCTCCTCTGTACATGTTCCAGCTTGTCAGCATCCTTCTTAAATTGTGGTGCCCAGAATTAGACACAGTATTCCAGGTGTGGTCTGAGCAAAGCAGAACAGAGTGGTACTATTACTTCCCTTGATCTGGACACGATATTTCTGTTGATGCAGCCTAGAATAGCATTAGCTCTTTTTTTGCTGCTGAATCACACTGTTGACTTATGTCAACCCTTAGATCCTTTTCACATGTGCTGCTAGGAAGCCAGGTGTCCCCCATCTTATATTTGTGCAACTGGTTCTTCCTGCCTAACCTTACATGTGTCTCTATTTAAATCATGTTGGTAGTTTCGCCCTAGTTCTCCAATGTGTTATATTTTATATTTTATACATTTATTTATATTTTATACAGCGGTATCTTGGGTTACAGAGGCTTCAGGTTACAGACGCTTCAGGTTACAGACTCTGCTAACCCAGAAATAGTACCTCAGGTTAAGAATTTTACCTCAGGATGAGAACAGAAATCGTGTGGCGGAAGCGGGAGGCCCCATTAGCTAAAGTAGTACCTCAGGTTAAGAACAGTTTCAGGTTAAGAACGGACCTCCAGAACGAATTAAGTTCTTAACCCAAAGTACCACTGTACTTTCTTTTTTTATTTTATTTTTTGACAAATTAATGATCACAAATATATAAGAATAAAAATGTGAACCCCACGACTGAGACCATTCCATTGTTACTATCCAACCTCTCAAAATTCCAACACCTCTTGCGATGGTTTGACCGCTTTCCATATAATAATAATAATAATAATAATAATAATAATAATAATTTATTATTTATACCCCGCCCATCTGGCTGGGTTTCCCCAGCCACTCTAGGTGGCTTCCAACAGAATATTAAAATACAATAACCTATTAAACATTAAAAGCTTCCCTAAACAGGGCTGCCTTCAGATGTCTTCTGAAAGTCTGGCAGTTGTTTTTTTCTCTTTAACATCTGGTGGGAGGGTGTTAACAGTACAAATTCTACAAACACCCTCCATATCTCCTCAAAATCATTTCTCCTGCATATTTCCCATCTTACCTTAATGGCACATGTTAATTTATCATTAATAGCTATATCCCACACCTCTTTATACCATTCTTCCATTTTATATTCTGCTTCCCCCTTCCACTTCCTAGCTATCATGATTCATGCAGCTATCAATAAATTTGTGAGCAAGTCCTTCATAGCCTGTGAAGCTTCTACCCCATCGTAAATTGATAATAATGCAGAGACTTCTGGGGTGGCGCCATCGGCAATGGCGGACTCCCTCTGAACTGGAGGGACTAGCTCCGCGCGAAACGGGTCTTCTCCGCTACGGCGAAGCGGGGACCCCTTTAAAAATCACAGGCGGATGAAGCCTGTGACCATGGGACTCGGCGGGCACCCTTAGCACCCCCCCAACTCGCAAAGGAACCCACTAACGGGCTCCGAAGTGAAGAGGGGGAAGTGGCGCAGTGCTGTGAGTCAACTGCTATTTCCGTGGAGCAAAGCCGCATAGCCGTTGCCGGAGAGCGCTGCCTTTTTCCTGGGACAATTTGGATTCTAAAATAAGCACCCGTGAGTACTTAAACTTTGAACAACTGGACTTTAAATAAGGACTTGCGAGCAGAAAGGAATTGGACTTAAAAATTTATTTCAATTTGGTACTGAAACGGGAAGGTCTAAACAGGAAGTCAGCCTTCCGTTCTTTTGTAGACAGAATAAAGCAAAGACAACGTAGACTAGAGCTCAGAAAATCGCCTCTAAAGGATTGGATTTCATCATTTAAAATTGTGGAACCCCCCTTCAACAGCAGGAGAAGAAGGGGGATCTTTTTTGGACTGTTTAAACCTGCAGAAGTGAGTTTAAAGTAAAGTAACTTTCCACCGTCCTGATCCTGGAGCGGGGTGTCAGGACTGACGTTTGAAGCTCATTGACCAGAGACAAACGTTTTTGATAGATAGCTAAAAGAAGAGAAACATAGTGATTCCACTGTTTCCTTTCGCAGTTTAAAGGAACAAATATCAACAAAATATCTCAAAAAGGAAAACTTTGTTGCAAGAACAAATAGAAGTTTTCCCCCTAGAGGGAGACTGTGAAACTGTAACTAATTCCAGGGAGCCGGCAGCTGTTACAGATTACAGAATTGAGAGGGCACTTAGACACAGTGCTGCAAAAGTCCTGTCTACAATCTCAGGCTGAGCAACTGAAGCTGATCCCACAAAATTTAAGTTTTGGGTTTCACTTTTTAAATGTAGAAATTCAAAGCCCCAAAAATTGTTAAAGATACCCTGCAGCTCTGAAAAGTGTTTTTTCTTCTTCCTCCAAATTGGTATCTTTTCCATGAACTCAAGTTTCATCACTGAAATGCTAACTAAAATCTACTTACTTCTGAAGAAATTTGGTAAAAAAATTCATATCACCCCATTTTTCAATATACAGTGGTACCTTGGGTTACATACGCTTCAGGTTACATACGCTTCAGGTTACAGACTCAGCTAACCCAGAAATATTACCTTGGGTTAAGAACTTTGCTTCAGGATGAGAACAGGAATTGTGCAGCCGCGGCGTAGCGGCAGCAGGAGGCCCCATTAGCTAAAGTGGTGCTTCAGGTTAAGAACAGTTTCAGGTTAAGAACAGACCTCCAGAACGAATTAAGTTCTTAACCTGAGGTACCACTGTGCTGCAATAGGTCAACCACCACTCGGTCCACTCTATTCTGTCTCCCTCCCCTCTTTGTATTTTAGTTTACCGGTAAATATTAATTAAGTAAATAAAAAAAATAAGTATATTAAAAATAGAAGTTCATCTTGGGTGAGGGATTCTGTTAGGTAGATTTATTGCTTTAGTGTTCGGCGTCCGGCATGCTTCCCCTGCACGCCTCTGCAGGTCGTAAAGCAATTAGCAGAATTGCACAGCTTCCGTGTTGAAAGGGCAGTAAAAGAAGTCCCACACGTCTCTTCTGTCCTAATATCACTGCAGGTCGTAAAGCAATTAGCAGAATTGCACAGCTTCCGTGTTGAAAGGGCAGTAAAAGAAGTCCCACACGTCTCTTCTGTCCTAATATCACTTTATTTGCTCAAAAGTAGCATATTTACAAGCAAGAAATTCCATCTGATTCAAGCTGCATTTTTCTCTGCGTCCTTCTCTCTCAGTGTGCAGCTGCGTAACAAAGCTGCTTTCACTTTTCACTCAGCTCACAGCATTCCAAGCTGCTTTCGTCACGGCTTACTTCCCTTGTAAGCGCCTCCTCTCAGCCTCGAGACACAGAAGGTTAACTCTTCACTACACCCAACAGATTCTTCTCTAGCATGTCTCCTTGTAACCCTAAACTAGTCTATGGTGGGTCATGTTATGTTACTCTGCATATGACCTGAGGGAGTTCCATCATGCTAACTAGAATCTCTGTTTTATTTTGTATTCTTTATGTAATATAACTTTTCATGAACATCTAAGGTCAAGAGATCTGTAGTGTATTTTGATTTCAGTAAGGTTTTTACAAAATCCTCCATTATATTCTTGTGAAGAAGCTGGTAAAAGGTGGGATGGATAATGTAACTGTTAGGTACATTTGTAGCTGATTGATTGACTGAATCTGAAGAGTGTGGGATGTGAAACACAGAGCAGTCAAGTACAATATCCCTAGAGTGGACATAAAAAGGGGATGTCTGGACCAGCCAGTCGGAACTTCCTGTTTCCTCCTAGGCTGGGACAGACGTCCTCTACATGTGTCCAGAGGTGGTCATGACCTCACCTATGCAGGTAACAAAATAACTCATCGGAGGCTGCCATCTTTCTCTGTGACTACATTTGTCAAAGAAGCAATATCTGCTTAGCCAAAGAGAGGACAAAGGGACTACTGGTATCTCTTTATGGGATAGATTCCAGGTATATTACTTTTGTAACTTAAGTCTGCCTTCTGGGATCCATCTGTGAACAGAATGTGAGTGAGTAAACTCTTTTTATACTGTTATAGAAGACTGTGTCGTGTCTATTTCTTTTATGAGGGACTAAAGGGGAAATTACCAGATAACTTATTTTAGAGGCTTTAGCAAGCCTGAGCAAACGCATCCGCTGTGTAAGTTTAAAAAAGGGGAGTGTTACTCTGCTAAATTGTAGAACTTGTTAACACAAGTTGGAAAGGATATAACCAAACAAAATATCCTTTCCTGCATCCCTGAACATTCCCACAAAGAGTACTCATTCATGGTTCCTCATCATTCTGACACTGTTAATGAAAAATGAACACCCATGTCTGAACCTAGCCACTTTTTATGTGATTTGTGTAGCTTACAGTCACATCAGAGGATTTTTTTATAAGTTATTAGCACACGGTATGGGTGGTGGGAGGATTTCTGATGGGATTGTGGATGGGGATGGAGGGTTAAATCTCCCTTCCCTTTATGCTGAAGTCTGAGTGGAAATGATGTCCCCTCCTGAAGCCTGAGATTAAATTTAAAACATTCTCAAACATGGTCATAAGTCATTAACAATTAACATAACATATAAGTAACACAATTATTGACCCTTGGACTTATGGGCCAGAGAAGTGGGCTCTGCTTGCCTAGAATTCACACCAAGTTCAGATAAGAGTTTGAGTGGAAACCGAATAAATCAGTCCAATTCACCTCACAACTTTTCCTTAACGAAACCCAACATGCAAAACTGCCTACATAACAACAATCAAGGTAGGAAATAGATCCCCCCTCAAAGTTTAAAAATAAATCCCTAGCTGCGCAATATTAACAATTAACCATTTATCTAAAAATTTGAGGTCAGCTTGCCCCAGAACACTGAATAAAATGTGTCCAGATGGATCTCTGAGTACCATTAGAAAGCTGGAGCTTGGCAACATGCACGCCAACTGCTGTTTTAAATTGGCATGTGAGGCCAGAGTAATGCATACCCAGTGTAATGACTGCAGAAGAGCACAGTGTGAAGCTCAGTAGCAAATAGTTTTGAAAACTGAGGTAATTTTTTCTCTGCGAGTATAATGTCTTGAATGGCAAATGGAACTATTGGACTGTGTGACATGTTCTCAAATGGGAAAAAAATATATCATATTGCTGAAAGTATGAAGACCAACTGATACCATTAGTTTTGGGAGAAGTCAACAGGCATTAGTGGGCCACGTTTTTTTGTGCTGGGCTGTCACATCATCCCAAGCAGTATATTATTCCAAGGCTCTTGTGACATTCCCTCCCCCCCCCCCACCTCATCTCAATTCAATATTAGGAAGACCAACATTTCTTAAGAGGTTTTGAGGACGTACTATTAGTATTGACAGCAGTTACATGACTGTTTTATTTGCGTGGGTAGGTGGAGACCCCCCCGATCCTGGGCGTCACCCACGTGGAATAATGACTCAAGACAATGTGTTATGGGATTAAAATTTGGCCACAACTTTATTAAAACTTCAGATATAGGGAGACCTTGGCTTAGGCATTCGGTGTTTATCCCTCCAAGTCCTTGGCTAGGGATCTGGGGAACATCAGGGTTATCCAGAATGTGTGGGGATTGGGCTGGCTCTGGAGTACATATGTTCAAACAAAGAGCCCCCCCCATTCGCCACTGTCGCAGGGGGGAGCAATGACAACCTAATGGTGTATAGCCCATGGCTCCCCTCAAAACAACCCCTTTAATGGGGAACCCTGGGATCGCTGCCACAGGGGGTCGTGGGTCACTGCTCCACCCCCACCCCCCATTTAGGGAAGATAGACTAAAGGATTCCACCCAAAGCCTGAAACTGCCAAAGTTGTGACGTTTTGGTACAGGGAAGGCAAAACCTGCCAAGGCAGGAAAATTCCTTTCCGGCCCTTCAACAGCAACCATAATGTAGCAGCACCCGCGTATCTGTGAAGAAGAGGTTAACCTACAAAAGAAGGCTTAACTGGAGGGGGGCAGGGTGGGAGAAGCTCTGAAGCCAACTGAGAACTCCCAGGTAAGTTCTGCCCACTATTGTGTGGGCTGGGCGATCCCTCTTCTTACCTGGCCAACTCTCATCTGGCAACGCCTCCCCAGCTGGGATTGAGTAACTGACAGAGGTAGGCAGCTAGCTCCAAGTGTCCAGCCGGGGGGGGGGGGATCCAGGCTGTACTTCCGGGAGCCACATGGGATCGGGGGGGGAGGGGCTGCGCACGACCGTGCAAAAGCCCCCCCACCCATTTGATGTGGGGAGCGGTCATTCTTTCTTTCTTTTTTACTATATATGGTTGCCTTTTGTGACAGCACAGAGCTCTTTTCACTGATTGCCAGCAGACAGCAGCCACTCCCCATCACTGAATGTCCCAGATGCAGCATTTTTTTTTAAGAAAGTAACACCTCCTACTGGCAACAGTCATCCCTCTCCCCCCAACACACAAAAATGCCCTGGAATGAGATATGAGAAAGACAGAGAGACAGAGACAGAGACAGAGAGAGAGAGAGAGAGAGAGAGAGAGAGAGAATGTGTGTATGTAAAGTAAAGAGGGAGAAAGACCTGAAACCCATGTGGCAAGCAACAATCTTACAAAAGAAAGATTGACTGCTGCTCAGTTTGCTCCTTGTTAGTTTCACCTCCAAAGTTCTTCCATCCTTCATGTTGGTTCATGAAAGTTCTTATTGAAGACTTTTGGCTCAACCAAACAAGCTTCTGACATAGCCTTATACATCTAAAACTGTCAGGTTCAACGTACCTCAGGACACTGGAAAACATTGGGCTTGATCTCACATACTTTACAAAGTTAAGTCCCTTAAAACAAACACTCCTCTGTCCAAGCTGATCAATGCAATTTCAGTGTGTCATACCATACTTGTATACTTATTATTTAGTTTCCCTACAGATGACTGTTGTTGTTGTTGTAATATCTCACTCTTCCTCTCAAAGTAGTTGACAGTTGTAGAATATCTTTACTACATTATCTAAAGTGTATAAAAACCAAGTATAGGTAAAAGTAAAGGACCCCTGGAAGGTTAAGTCCAGTCAAAGGCGACTATGGGGTTGTGGCACTCTTCTCGTTTTCAGGCCGAGGGTGCCGGCATTTGTCCATAGACAGCTTTCCATGTCATGTGGCCAGCATGACTAAACTGCTTCTGGCACAATGGAACACCATGATGGAAATGCTGTTTACCTTCCTGCCACAGCATTACCTATTTATCTACTTGCACTGCATGCTTTTGAACTGCTAGGTTGGCAGGAGCTGGAACAGCGCAACAGGAGCTCACCCTGTCATGGGGATTCAAACCGCTGACCTTCTGATCGGCAAGCCCAAGAGGCTCAGTGGTTTAGACCACAGCACCACCCTTTTCCCTACAAAAGACCACGTGTATGATGGTATGAGTGACACAGCAACATGGCTCTTTCTCATCTCCATGCTGCAGCTCCTTCAAACATCTGCATTTATGATCTTGGATCTTGCTCAAATCTTTAGTGCGGAGAGTGCTGTTGCATTCAGGCTCTCTTTTATAGGCTTGCCATAGGTATCAGGTTAGCCACTATGAGAACAGATTGATGAACTAGTTGGGCCATTGGCTTGATCCAGCAGACTCTTCTCATGTTCTTATGAAGGCCACAACAAAGCAGCAATGGTTGTTTTCTTATCATTTTTGTAAGAATGTTGATGAAGAACTCCTGTTAGTGGCTGTTGGTTGGAGGGTGCCATTCCTCCATCTTTGCTGCACATTCTAGAGGGGAAAATGATGGTCAACAACAAAGAAATGGTAGACAGCACCATTTTGTTGGCATACAGAGGCCAACAGGCTAGCCCCAGCTGAGTCGTCTCCTTCCAGCTGTCCCGCTGCGAAGACCCATTGGCTTCTGCTCTGACGTAAATCAGCGACCCAGGCTTCAAAGCCAGGGCACAAGGCCAACTGGCTAGCCCCAGCTGGGTCGTCTCCTTCCAGCTGTCCCGCTGCGAAGACCCATTGGCCTCTGCTCTGACGTAAATCAGCGACCCAGGCTTCAAAGCCAGGGCACACTACCTGTATCTCAGCTGAGCGAACTGCACACACAGAATAGGCGTGAGGCTTGTGGAAGCATACTACAACTACGGATTTATTAATCACAAATCAGGACAAAGAAACATGTTCTCTCTCTCTTTGTCTTCTCAGAGAGACAGAGAGAAAAGCAAAAGCTATACACACACGGAAGCTCCCAGCAAGCTGTGCTGGTATGTAAACAGGCATGTGACTTGCAACAGTTCCATGTCTGCAACTAAAGGTGGAATGGAATTTTCCAGCACATTTGCCTTCTGAAATGCCTCAGAATCATATTGCGACCTCTTGTGTAATCTTGAGGAAAATGGTGACCTGACCACTGAGAGTAACTCCTCTTCAGCCTCTTAAATTTGAGAATGAAAAGTGCTGTTGCTGCATCACGACCTCACCGACAATGGTAAGCCCACCACCTCTGAACCCTTAAATCACAACAAAAGCACTCACAAGGAAAAAAATGTCCCTAGTTTGTTTGTTTTTTCGTCTACTGTTAAGACGCCACCCGCTGAACCTTTTAAGTCAGAAAAAAATGGTAAGACCAACCCCTGGTAGCAAAAGGTAGGTGCATTACTAAATTGGTGATAAGAGAGGGAGAGGGTACTAAAATTCAGAAAAATCTTCCCCATCAAAAATACCTCCAGTTTTGGTGCTTTTTGGCCCTGTACCCCAAATTCTGTATAGTAAAAGCTATATAAGTATAGTATAGTATAGTATAGTATAGTATAGTATAGTATAGTCTAGTCTAGTCTAGTCTAGTGTAGTATAGTGTAGTGTAGTATAGTATAGTATAGTATGGTAAAAAGCTATATAAAGGTCCGTATAGGAAAAGCTATGGTTTTCCCAGTAGTGATGTATGGAAAGTGAGAGCTGGACCATAAAGAAGGCTGATTGCCAAAGAATTGATGCTTTTGAATTATGGTGCTGGAGGAGACTCTTGAGAGTCCCACGGACTGCAAGAAGATCAAACCTCTCCATTCTGCAGGAAATCAGCCCTGAGTGCTCACTGGAAGGACAGATCGTGAAGCTGAGGCTCCAATACTTTGGCCACCTCATGAGAAGAGAAGACTCCCTGGAAAAGACCCTGATGTTGGGAAAGATGAAGGGCACAAGAAGAAGGGGACGACAGAGGACGAGATGGTTGGATAGTGTTCACGAAGCTACCAGCATGAGTTTGGCCAAACTGCAGGAGGCAGTGGAAGACAGGAGTGCCTGGCATGCTCTGGTCCATGGGGCACGAAGAGTCGGACACGACTAAACGACTAAACAACAACACCCCAAATTCAGGACAACCTTTCTCTGCTACCAATTGCTGAAGGTGTCTTAATGTGCTCAGACTCAATTCTCTCCAACCTCTCTATCAAATCTTCCAAATACAATCCAAATATTTTATAAAGGGGGTGGGCATTTTCTCAGTGGAAACTTCAGGGGGCCAAGGCAGCATCCCTACAGATGATAGGTTCTCCCCCCCATGGTTCTAACATTGCCAGCAGCCCCAATTTAAATGTGACACCAACCTCACAGAGCTGTGCATGGATCAGTTGCTTTATGCACTTTGTACCACATGTTAACCAAGCATACTCACTATGCTACACTGCTTTCAATAATAAATACCCAAATATAAACAACACAGCATGAGCGCCCTATCTGGGACTCTAATATTCAGCACAGTTGTCCTTGACATGTTCTACGAACATTGGTAAGCATAGTTTGAAAAGTCTTCCCCTTTAATGAAACAATGTCTCTGAAGTAATTTCAAAGTGAAAAGAAGAAAGTAATAAGCACAGTGGTTGGTATATTGGAGGCTGTTGGAATAAGAGTGTTCAAAGCAAAACTCTCTTATCTAAATGAAGAGAAATGAGACTGCAGCAGTAAAGAGAGAAGCACCATAATGTAGCTAGATCTATTTTGACTCAACTTATTTTCCCCATCACCGAGAAGGGGCAACTCCGCCATCAATCATGGTCAGATCATTTTTATTTATTTTTTGTAACCCCTCTGCGAAAGAGACAACTTGTCAGGCAGGTTACTAAATGTATGCCACGCTTCGGCAATGTCACTTAGGAGCAGAATCAACATACTCTCTTTGACTTTCACAATGCAGCAATTTGACACTAAGAGAGTATTGCAATGTCCAATAAAGCTTGGAGCAGAGTTGTTAAAGAGACATTCAGCAAAGGCGGACAATGGTTGGCTGAAATACTTTTATAATAATAAAAAAGTGTTAATGGCATGGAGAAGAATGGGGGTGGCAGGGAGAAAAATCAAGCTTCTCCAGCAACTGATGTTTTTCTTTGCTTATGAGCTGCAGAGGCTCTGAGCTCAGTTATCACATTGAACTGGGATTCACCCAGTTGGTTTTGCTTAGTGAAGGAATCTGAACACAAAGCATTGGAGGTAGAGGCATTTTTGCTCAGTCCAATTAGAATTGAGGACCAATGAGGTCTTCTGAGGATCCATCAGAGGTCCACTGGTAATGATGAGCACGTGAAGAGGCCTTGAGACTGTCTTGTGCCATGTACTATCACCACCCTCAGTGAAATGGGGTCACATGGAGGGCAGAAAAGATGGGGTGAACTGCTAGGTGCTGCAAATGACAACAACAACAGTAACAACACCCTGATATCGCTTTGTGGTATCGATGCATTTCAAGCCATTGTTCTTCATTGGAAGCACTCATACCTTCAAGTTTGTTGTTTTATTTAGAAACATTTCTAAACCACTTAATGTTTAAACATCTCTAAGAGGTACAGAAAGCAATCTCTTGAGAACAGAGATACAGAATAAAAACCAGTTAGGGAGTATTATAAAAAAGAAAAAAAATATGAAAACATTATGTTCTTAGAGGGGTCTGCCTTCCGAGAGTCACTGTTGTTGGTGTGTCTTCTCCCACAACAGGAAGTTCTATTGCTTCTTTGTGTTGAACAATCTAGTTGGAGAAGTGGATTAGAATCAGAAGAAACAGAGCATTGCATCACACAGGGAGCCCAAACCTAGTTGGAGACAAGGCTGTAGAGTGGGCTGCAATCCCGTAACCAAGTGGTAAAAAGGGAGGCTAAATTGTAGGACATACTTTGATACAAACTGAATTCCATGCATCTATAAACCCATGGAACCCACTGACTAGATTTGGTGCAATTTTCTGGAACTATTTAGAAGCAAAAGACTGTGCCCCCCCCCGACTGCAAAAGGTCTCCCCACACTTGCTTTAGAGACTTCTAAATTCATCACATGCAGTTAATAATATAAAATGGAGCGTCTCCACCCCCATCGCTCAACCTGGACACTGAGGTCATCTTCCAAGGGTCTTCTGCTGGTTCCTTCACCACAAGACACAAAGTTACAGGCAGAGGGCCTTTTCAGTAGTGGCACACTCCCTGTGAGACACCCTTCAGATGTCAAGGAGATAAAGAATTACACAACTTTTAGAAGACACCTGAAGGCAGCCCTGTATCAGGAGGTTTAATGCTTGATATTTTTCTTGTGTTTTTCGATATGCTGTAAGGCACCCAGAGTGTGATGTAGGATGTAATAATAACAATAATAATTTCAGATCCCTCTTATCTAGCAGGGTGGGTTGTGGCTCATTTGTAGAGCATGTCAGGCATGGAGGATGCTCTCTTCCCCCAGTAGCATCAAAGGCAAGAAGAACAAGCAAGTTCGTATTTATGGTTTTTATTCAGTCATCTGGTTGCAAGACAAAGAATCCATGTCTCCACGGAAAGGAGACGATGCCTACTCTAAGTCTCTCCTCTTCTGTCCCCAACAACATCCTGAGTACCAGGAGTCACACACCTCTGCATTCTCTGTTCTTGAATATGGAGTGATTGACTGGCCCTTGGAGAAGGAGGATCTCCCAGAATCTCCAGGGAGGTCTCTGCTGGCTGCTCTCTCACTCCCGCCCCCCATCTCTGTCAGGAGTCCCGGTTCCCGTTTTGATAACACAGCAAGCGTAGTAAATTAAAAGGGAAGATTTATTGTAAAAACAGAGTTCTCCGTATGACTCTAACAAGCCACCAGTCTCACCAGTCATGATGACCCTACTGAGCTTTCCTTCCGGTTACAGAAGATATTGAACTTTATCACTTTGTGCCTTTTGACTTGTTTCCGGTCTAACAGCCCTCCCCTTAGCCTATTCTTACTACTACTACTACTACTACTACTAATAATAATAATTTATTTATACCCTGTCCTTCCCAGTTTAAAAACCGGGGTCAGGGTGGCTAACAGCAAATATAAAACATTGATTAAAATGCGACTTAGAAACAGCATAAAACAGCATAAAATAAAACATAAAATGCAGCATCAATATCAATAAAATTCAAAAATTCAGGGGTCATTTTTTTTGGGGGGGGAGGGACCCAGTCAGTAGACATCAAATGATCACCAGGGCTATCTGGTCAAGTTGGTCCTACTAGGGCCAGTAAGGAGACCAGGGAAGAGTTTAAATGTGGGGTCCCAGAAAGGGTTTCTTCATAGAAGAGGAAAGGGGAAAAGGGAATAGAGGATCAGGCTAATTCAAACTGAAGGCGAGGTGGAATAGCTCTGTCTTACAGGCCCTGCAGAAGGAGATCAAGTCCTGCAGGGCCCTAGTCTCGTGGGACAGAGCATACCACCAAGTTGGAGCCGTCACTGAAAAAGTCCTGGCCCTGGTGGAGGATTGGCCCTTAGGAGGGATTGGCTTAGCTCCAATCTCTTCCTGTTCTGACAAACTGCTTCTTTCTCTGTTCTCGCTAGTAGAGCGTTGCCTGGGTTCCAGCTCACTCCCACCCATTCTCTTATCAACTGGCATTCCAAGGGGTGGGGGAGTTGGCACTCACTGATGCTCAGCCTGCCTGGCAGTTAACCCTCTCTGTTCCTGGCAGCTTTCTTCAGCTTGTTGCAAACCTTCACTGGGATCTGGTTGCAAACCTTCAGAGGGGGCTGGCTGTAAACCTTCCCTGGCGGCTGGCTCATTCATGACGATCTTGTAACTTCATTCAGCTGTAATTCAGCCCTGTCTCCTTTTCCTCTTCAAACTGCTGGAGACAAGGGGGGCAAATCTTTCCCCTTCCCCTCCTCGTCCGAGAGGGGCCGAGCAGACCGAGGTGACATTTCCCAGCCTTCCTGTTCAGTCCAGTCCATGACAGAGCATGTGCTTTGCATCTACAAGGTCCCTGGTTTAACCCCCAGGTTCAGTTCCCAGAAGCTTCAGGTTGGGCCAGGTGAAACTCCTGGAGAGCTGCTACTAGAAGATTGAGCTTGATGGACTCAATATGAATAAGTTCCCGTGTTCCTTATAATTTGTTAATTTTGAGGGTTTTCACCTAAGACAATACAACTGTATAACTTTTTTTCTTTTAATGTGGGGAGGCAAACTGCACTGCATTATTAGGGAACATGATTTTCAACACACATCACTTTTAGCATATAAAAAAGGCTAATTTATATGCACAGTAATGAGCTGTACTGTAAATGCTAAAAGGGTTCTATTATACATGGAGGGAAATGTTTATAGCTAAGTAGAGAGGACACAATATATTTGTGCAAATAAAACTTCTATAAAATACCTAATTACTCAAGGAGCTGGTTTATCCCTCTATGGTGAATTAATGTTCATTCTGAAACCCACTTTTATTCAATTCAGTTTAAAATATTATCTATTTGTGGAATAAAAGCTATGGACATTTGTTTGTCTCCATGTGGACATCATAATCCAGGGACTCAAATATCATTATTGTTGACTTTGCTAAATTTGAAGCTCTGGATAATGAGCATTGTGACCCCAGAGCCAAGAAGAAAAGAAACTATACAACCATTAGAAGACATCTGAAGGCAGTCCTGTTTAGGGAAGTTTTGAAATGTTTAATGTTTTATTGTGTTTTTATATATGTTGGAAGCTGCCTAGAGTGGCTGGGGCAACCTAGGCAAATGGGTGGGGATATTATTATTATTATTATTATTATTATTATTATTATTGAATAGGATGTCCCTATTTTCATCAGATAAATTTTGGAGAGTATGCCAGGTGAAGATCATGCCTGTGTGGACCGGCTTTCAGTCAATGAATTATAACCCACTCCCTCATGATAAAAGGGAGAGGCAGGCTTCTTGGACCACAATGTGCTCCAATGTCTCAGAGCAAAAACTATGCTGATGGTAGGATAAATATGGCTGAGACCCTACCTGCCCGAGGACTGTCTCGCCAGGGTGGTGCATGCTCTAGTTATCTCCCACTTGGACTGCTGCAGTGCGCTCTACGTGGAGCTACTTTTGAAGGTGACCTGGAAACTACAAATAATCCAGAATGCGGCAGCAAGACTGGTGACTGGGAGCAGCTGCCGAGACCATATAACACCAGTCCTGAAAGATCTTCATTGGCTCCCAGTACATTTCTGAGCACAATTCAAAGTGTTGGTGCTGACCTTTAAAGCCCTAAACAGCCTCGGTCCTGTATACCTGAAGGAGCGTCTCCACCCCCATGGTTCTACTCAGACACTGAGATCCAGCGCTGAGGGCCTTCTGGCGGTTCCCTCATTGCGAGAAGTAAGGTTACAGGGAACCAGACAGAGGGCCTTCTCGGTAGTGGCGCCTGCCCTGTGTAACGCCCTCCCATCAGATGTCAAGGAAATAAGCAGCTATCTTATTTTTAAAAACATCTGAAGGCAGCCCTGTTTAGGGAAGTTTTTAATATTTAATGGATTTTTTTATATTTAATTGATTGGGAGCCGCCCAGAGTGGCTGGGGAAGCTCAGCCAGATGGGTGGGGTATAAATATTATTATTATTAATTATTATTATTATTATTATTATTTCTAGTGTAATATGTAGAAGTCTCCTCCATGTTTCATCCCAGCAGTTCTAGCAAATCTGACTCCAACCCCGTTCCAGCCCAGATTTTATTAGGACTCTGTCTGTCTCTATCCAAGCTAGACTGAATCAACTGGCCATGAAAGTTTCTGATAGGCCACAAGTATTTGTTTATATGGAAGTTGTTTTAGTAAAACCATACTCTCAGTAGTGATCTGTGGGGTGATGAAGGTGTGGCAGTGTTACACACCTGGCTTCTGCTGCTGTCACTTCCTGGGAGTGGGAGGGCTTAGATGTGGGGCAATGTGGTGTGGACACAGTGCCTGTCAGGAGTTCAGCCTACACTCAAGTAGGACCCTGGCAGAGACACATGCCCGACTGACATGTTCCCTCCCTCCTGGTCGATCATTTGGGAGCTTCATAAGCTTTCTTCAGCCCGAACCGACACAGACACACTTAGGGATCCACAGAGTTTGCGTGACAGACCTCAGCAACTCAGCATTTTGGCTAATCTACCTTATTTACATATAAACACACACGGAGCACTGCAACATGGCTCCCTGTCTCTCTAACATCAGACAGCAAAGAGAAAAAGAACAAAGGATAATAGTCCCACTTCACGGAACACAGTAACACATCTCTTCCCACACTTCCCATCACTTCCCACTCTGTGGAGTCAAAGCATGTGAGAAGACAACAATCCCATGACTGCAATCATAGATAAGGAATTCTAACATCCTCCCTCAATTCATGATCTGTGTTGCAGTCATCAGAATTCTAACAGTGCCAGGAGGGTCAGATTCATGGCAGGTTTATCCAACCATTCCTGCCTTCCATTCCAGCTATCGTGACAGTTGTGCGATAAAGAACAACGTTGTGTTCGGCCTTTGCATCAATGTTAAGAGGATTGAAAAACCACAGGACACTATACCCCATTCTACTGCTGCTTCTGTAATACCCCTTGAGGACATTAAAAAAGGCACTTTCCAGGAAGGACTTGCGTCCATCCTGACAGCTGACATCATCCCTCTGCAGCTTGTGAATCACTGCTGTCTTATAAAAACTCTAAGGTTGCAACAGCATCCTGTAAATGAAACAGTTTCTCAGAGCAAAACTTCCCAGTTTCACAGGCAACCAGGCCTTAGCAAATTTAGGATTTTACATACTAACGTCAAAATTGTTCTCTAATTAGAAGCTAGAAGGCAGTCAATTTCAAGTTCATGGAGCATGGATTATGTGCATTTTGCTGCACCATTTAATAATGACAGCCATAAGCTGACATGTTTTGTTTTAGTTGCGGCTTCCAGATGGCCTCCACATATCACATTTTATTCACCCTGCCTTGATGCAGGCAGCAGTAAGGAAATCTCTCTGAAAGGAAAGGTCATATTTGTCTCCGCTTATGACGAATATGCTTTCTTTCAGCATACTAGCCTTCCATTTTAATTTCTCATGACTGTTTCCTTTGCTAATGTTTCCAAGCACAATATTCTAATATTTCTAATACACCTAAGCTTAATATTTCTAATCTTGGATGTGCTCACCTATGTTTTCAACACATTGATATTTTCCTTTGTAGGGGTCAAAAGCACAAGCTATCCTCCCTGGGGCCTACCTGCACACAATGGGGTGGGTTGGCATATTAATGGAACTCTCTGCTAACTCCCCACATCTTCTTCAGCCAATGCACACACTTCCTATTGTGAGCATCAGTGAAATACACAGAAACAGAGAGAACCACCTTATACTGAGTCAGAGCAATGGAGCAGCATAGACAGTATTGTCCATACTGACTGTACCTTGAGATGCCAGGGACAGGACCTTGGACTGCCTTGTTGTTGACTTTCATCTCTCTCAAGAGCAATGAAGTGCACCTCCAGGGATGTAGTCAAAGCAGCCCCAAGGTGACCTCCCCGGGCCACAAGCCTGGGCAGTGTGTATGGAGGACCTTGGCTGCCCTGATGACAAGACCTTCCTCTTGACCTTGCTGATGTGGTCCAAAGGAAAGCAGAGCAATACGTTTGGCTCCAGCTTGGCTGCAGGAGCTGCTGGAGGGAGGCGTACAGGGCACCATCCCACTGTGTTAGGAACTCCACTCCAGATTTGGGTTTACTCGTTAGCCTTTTCTTCTCTTGAAGATAAACCTAAAGGCAGCAGAGGTTTGGGATACGAGTCTCCCCTTCTTCTAGAAGATGCTACTTTCCGAGGTTGATGAGCCCTATCTGGCTCTCACTTCCCTCTACAGCGTATGCAGAAACTGCCTTGTTGAGCATTGGACCCCTATTGGTCTCATCAATCAATCCTCCAGAGTCTTTCTTCACTTTCTTACTCACTGATGTTTTGAGATTCATCGGCTACTCTCAGCTGGTTTGGCCCACCAGTCAAAGCCATTCCTGGGGTGTGGCTGCTGTCACGTGCTGAGAGCTTCTAGGAGTACAGAGTGGGGACCAAAGGTGGACTGCTTATATGCAAAGTAAATGCTTTACCACTGAGCTATGGTCCCTCTTCATGTGTACTGCTAGTCAGAGATATGGAGGAAGGGAATGAACTTTAGAGGGCCCTGTGTGTTCCATCAAGGGTGTGTTGAGATAAGCTCTGCCTTTTAAATAGCTGCATAGCCCCAGGCAGCAGATCTATACTTTTCACCCCAAGGAAGTGTGTGTTCCTACCAAGGCTGAATGAGACTAGCTCCAGCTCTCCTGTAGGAAACTGTTAAATGTGCTATTGCCTGGATGATGTCAGCCTTTGTGGGTGTGAGGAAGGTCCATCAGGGTTAGGGTTAGTGACAAGAGGGCAGCTCCATGGCTTCACCCCACCAGCTGCCAATGTATGTGATTGATTGATTGATTGATTGATTCTATTTCTATGCTGCTTTTATTCAAATAAATCCCAAAACAAAAGATGTTGTTGTTCGTCGTTTAGTCGTGTCCAACACTTTGTGTTTGTCGTTTAGTCGTGTCCAACACTTTATGACCCTATGGACCAGAGCACACCAGGCACTTCTGTCTTCCACTGCCTCCCGCAGTTTAGTCAAACTCATGCTGGTAGGTTCGAGAACACTATCCAACCATCTCATTCTCTGTCGTCCCCTTCTTCTTGTGCCCTCCATCTTTGCTAACATCAGGGTCTTTTCCAGGGAGTCTTCTCTTCTCATGAGGTGGCCAAAGTATTGGAGCCTCATCTTCAGGATCTGTCCTTCCAGGGAGCACTCAGAGCTGATTTCCTTAAGAATGGAGAGATTTGATCTTCTTGCAGTCCGTGGGACTCTCAAGAGTCTCCTCCAGCACCATAATTTAAAAGCATCAATTTTTCAGCGATCAGCCTTCTTTATTGTCCAGCTCTCCCCTTCATGGATCACTGCCTTGCCGTGGCGAAGGGGCTTGAATAACTCAGAGAACTATGCCGAGTAGGGCACCCAAGATCATAGTGGAGAGTTTTGACCAAATGTGATCCCCCTGGAGGAGGAACCGGCAAGCCACTCCAGTATCCCTGCCAAGAAAACTCCATGGACAAAGACAACAAACAAAAGATAAAAATAACATAATGGAACATCACGAACACAGCATAAATCATATAGAATACTTCACAAATCATCAGTAAAACAATCCCAAATAAAACAATTACCATCCATGTAACTCTACTAACAAAACAACTAAAAAATAAGCTAAACATTACAGTTACACAAAAAATCATATTATAGGATTCATAAAGTACAACAGCATTCATATCTATAAAACAACATTAACAACATTGACAAAATAGCAACAAAACAAGCAAACAAAGCCCTGCTGAATTTGTACACATGCTCTCCCTTCCGCCATGACTCAGAAACCTTCATTCTATTCAATGCATCAAAACACACCTGTACATAATGCTCCTGGCAGCAATTCCCTTCTGAAGGATTCTTGCAACGGAGGTGGTCAGCACAAAGACTCTCTGTTATGCTTTGTGCTTCATAACAATGTGTTGTAATATATCTTCTTGTAAGCCACATGGTAAAGATTTGGATCCCAAAGGTGAGATATAAGTAATTGTAGTAAAGCCGAAAGCTACCACTCATTATCAAAAGGTAAAGCCATCTTTAATAATTCCCTTTTCATTCTCTTTCATAGTATCAGAACCAAAGCGGCTTCGGAATATGAAAGGAAACAAGTGTACCTTTAACTCCCAGCACCAACAATTAAAAGGTGCCCTCGCTGATTAAAATTGACAGCCACCAATCAATCAACTAAAGCTGTAGTTGATTACTCTACCAATTGAAGCTTGTGGCTCTAATTAAAATTGGCATGCAGTATAATGAGAAGCAATATGTTACAATGGTGCACAGTCACTCTGAAAAATGGGACAGAAAGGTTTTTGAGAATGAATAAACTGACTGAGGGAGCTTTACCTAAGTATTAAGTATGTTTGTATATGGCTATCGGGCTCATCTCTGCTCTGCATTTCTAGGCACAGATCCAGGCTTTCCAGTTACATATCCATCAGCAGCAGCAGCGGTGTCTCCAAAATTTTTTACACATCACTTGGGAAGACAGGCGAACTAATATCAGTGTACTGGAAGAAGCAAAGATCACCAGTGTTGAAGCAATTATTACATCAACTTCGCTGGACTGGTCATGTTGTGTAGATAAGAGAAACATGATTTTCAACACACATCACTGTAACTTAATTGTATGAAATTTGCATGCAGGAGGTCTCAGGTTCAATCTACAGCATCCCTAGGGACAGACACTAGTCTAGAAACTCAGAAAACCATTGCCAGTCAGTGCTGAGTTAGACGGACCAGTGTTCTGACTCAGGGTAAGACAATTTCCTATGTTCCCTCCAAATCTGCATTAAGCACAATTCAGTGATAATGCTACAAATTATTCATATGATTCAGGAAGGAAGGAAGGAAGGAAAGAGGGAAAGAAGGAAAGAAAGAAAGAAAGAAAGAAAGAAAGAAAGGAAGGAAGAAAGGAAGGTGTCACCACATTCCACACACTAGAAACCCCTTTTTAATGTCATAATTGTCACTCCTGCATTATTTCCTACTTAGGTTGCCCTCCCCTCACCAAACCTGCATGACTATAAATCCTTCTTATGAGCTTACCGACTTTCATTTCCTCATACGGACTGTAAACTCATGCATTCAATATATGACATTATGGTAAAACCGAGTCTCTAGCCAGCTTGTTCTCTGCTAACTGACAGACAGCAAATATTTAATGACTTCATTATTTTACTGTTTTGGAGCACAATATGTCACCTCAACTGTAAAATACGTTGTATACCTCATTAATGGTCATATCCGGGGTTTGTTAAAGAGCATGCCTGGGATGTAAGTACCAAAAGCTCATGCACATATAACAACACAGCAGCAAACTCAAGCAAATGCAACACTATATTCAGCTGCACACATAGACTAAGAGAACCTTTCACAGATGGAGAGCATGTTTGTGTGCTACTACATGAGTCTGCTGCCTTTACCTTGCCCTGCAGTTAGGAGATGGAGAAGCAACTGCCAGGTCACCTGTATCCTGTTGTTGTCCTGGGTGGCAGCCATAGCATTAAGCTGAAGGAATGGGTTTCTGTGTAGTCAGTTTGAAACGGGACCCCAAACCCCCCTTTCTTCTTTCTCCAAGGGAGCATTTCTAAAATGCATTAACTTGAGCTGCTGAGCAAATGCATAACAAGAACACAGCTGTATAAACAAAGCTCTCTCCTTTATCAGTCACGGCAATGGGTGACCTTGGCTGTTCCAGTGGAGTAGGGATGACATGTCTGGGTCTTATCTTACCACACTCTGACGCACAGACCTAGTCCGGGAACAGCGCCAGAGTGTGTTCTTGGAGTTGGTGACCTCTTGCTCCAAGATAAGAGTATAGGAACATGAATACTCTTTTATGGTCAGAAGTACAGGAAGGAAAACCCTTTTATGGTTAAGAGTACCGGAGCAGGAACATCTGTGATGTCAACCTGCGTGTACAAGCTGATGTGCCTGGATTCCTGGGGAAGGGGGGAAGAGGGTGCCTGGAGGATATGTATACTGCATGAAATCTCTCATTTCTTTGGACTTGCTGTGGACTGACCATGGAAGTGCCTTTCTGCTGCTCCAGAGAGCAGAAATAAGGAATTCTTTCTCTGAACCAACCCTCAGTGTCACTTGACTTCCATCCTCCTGTCCGGGAGCAACGCAGAGCCCACCAATTGGTAAAGTCTAATAAGGCTACAAAGCTTTGAGGGAAAACAGCTGAGTCTTGTTTGTCCTGGAAATGACTTCTCATAGCAGGAGAATGAAGCCATACACATGCCAGCAAAGCTTGGTGTTGTGGCTGCTAGTACAAAGAGGATGCCATGAGTTATTCTTCCATCTCTACCTCTTCTTCCTTCCTGGGGTGAGTTTCTCTGTTCAGTTGAGGACTTGCCCCATTATTACTGACATGTCCTTTGTACAATCACCTGATTTAGAAGCAGTAGCAGTGGGGTGGGATGGCAGTGGCACCTACTGACCTTCTATGCTTGGTGTTCCTGTGGCTTGCCAGGAAGGGCAGGGTGCAAATGCACCTGTGGGAGCACCTCATTGGTTCGATAAAAGACCATGATCAGATGCATTTGTTGCAATGAGCTTCCAGGCCACAGTGTGCTGGTTTGAACCTTTAGACTAGAGCACTAAACAATTTGAGCAAGGAGTACCTCACCCTTTTAAGGCCTGTCAAAGAGGCTTTCCTTGTTCGTCCACAAGCTAAGTCAGCAAGATTGGTAGGCCCAAGGAAGAGGGCTTTTTCTCAGAGGCGTAGGAAGGTCAGGTGGTACCCGGTGCAGAAAATTTCTTATCCCCCCCCCACACACACATTGATTTTTTTTCTGCCTGCAAAAATGGTTTTACGTAATTTCATATTTTCTTACGAAGGAAATAATAATAATAATAATAATAATAATAATAATAATAATAATAAAAATAAAAATAAAAATAATACAACTTTTATTTATATCCCGCCCTCCCCGGACGAAGTCAGGCTCAGGGCGGCTAACACCAGATACATAACATTGGTATAAAATCAAACAATAATTAAATTGCCTTCTAAAAACATGTCAAAATCAAATTAAAGTCTAATTAGATGGCTTTCTGCAGGGTTAGGGTTGGGAACAGTAAGTGCTCCACTGAATTGAAATTTCAGCCTTCACGACATAGGAAAAAGGCCAAGTAAACAGCTATTTTCGTGGAGGAGGGTCAAGATATTAACTGATATGCATGAAATTTCATATATAGCTATATAATCCCTAGTGAAGTAAGATAAGGCCTTTGGAGCCTTTTTATGAACCGCTCTAGTAGAGCAGTAATTGTTCCTTGATAATTTGTTACCCCGTCCATGATGGAACTTGGGGCGCACCGCCCCCCACCCCCTTTCCCATGCCGCTGCTTTTTCTGTGGAACATTTTAGCTGTTGACATCTGGAAGTCCACCCACTCCAGTTTTTAGACAAAATCGTTCAGCTGCCAGGGGTCGGGCAGCTTTTAGTGCTTATTATATGAACTGTGCTTATATAATTTATTATCTCAATTGTGCATTGGGAATTTTGGGGAGACTATTTTATTCTGAGCTCTTATTTTAATCTAGAAGTCGCCCTGGAGCATATTTATTCAGAGGTGGAGAGAGACTTCTGGTCAGGCTTGACCTCAGATGGATGGAAAAGGACAAAGAGACAAATAGAGTGGGTATAGTTTGGGGTGTAGGCACTTGAATCCCCACTTTGCAATGAATCTCATGGGTGACTCTTAGTAAGTCATCACAGCCCTACATAAATGTCAATTCTAGATAGAAATGGAACATGGAGGAAGTTTAGGAATCAGGACTTTTATATAGACTTTCTGTTGAAAAAGCACATTGAATGTGTTGAGGTGAAGGGTGGAGCCAGTGGACATCTCGATTTGTCCCCTCTCCCCATTTATTTGTGCTCAGAATAATAACATTCACAAATCTTTCCTGCTAGTGAAGGTAAAGAAATGTTCACTCAGATGATATCCTGAGCTTCAGCGGTGGAATGAAAGACACCCAGAAACTTTGCCAGAGACATTAATAGAAGAACAAGGTGTCCTGGCTCTTTTAATTGCCTGCTGAAATATAAAAAAGAAAGCAATGAATCAATGACAGGAAAGGTAAAATATGAATTACTAGATCACATGAAAAGAGATAAATTAATAGAGCCATGCACATAATTAAAATGCATATGGGTTTTAAAGCTACATTCCTTTTACTTTTGAAATAAGTATATAGTGCCCTTCCAAAACAATTCAAAAGGTTTTTACACCTTTTTTGTATGTGTGTGTCATCTTGATTTTTGACTCCAGTATTCTCTTTTGGGTCCCATTAGCTAGATAGCTCAGCTGGTTACAGTGGGTGTGCTGATAAGGCCAAGGTTGCAGGTTTGGACAGCTGCATATTCCTGCATCGCATGGGATTGGACTAGATGATCCTCAGGGTGCCTTCCAACTCTATGATTCAAGATCTGCCTTAATCCTAGTCCCTTAACATTCAGGCACACAACTGTCCATTGTCTCAGTGTTCAATTCCCTCTGCTTGCCAGTACATAAGACTGCATAAGAGTTGCAATTTGGAGTTTGGAAACTCAAGTTAGTGATGGGTCTCCAGGGTTGTTGTTGTTTTCCACCTATCACACACTGATCCAAATACAGCAAACATAAAAAGAGCCTGCTGGATCAAGCCAATGGCCCATCTAGCAGCTGCTATCGATTGCAGCTGCAGTATGTGTGAAGGGGCATTGGGGTGAGCACTTCCAAGGCATCTTTTGAAGTTGAAGGTTTGCATCCTTAGTTCTGCCCCCTAAGCCTATGGAGCTAAAAGGGATAGGGACAGGAGCTCTGCTTAGGATTTGTCTAACATCCCCATCCAAATCCACGAGGCCTGCATGGACCAACATGGGGAGCCCTCCCTCAGTCCTGTGACTTTAGGGCTATCAATGATCATCAGCCAACAATATAGGGGCCCTGAGCTAGTAAATCCTGCTTAGTCAAAAGGCTGATGCTGAAGAAGGAATGTATTGATGCTTCAGAATCAATAGGGACATGCACTGTGTTGTATTCTTGTACACTACATCCCTCCAGAGGTTGCTTGACTACAGCAACAGCCATCCCTGTTCATGCTGCCTGAGGCTGATGGGAGCGTTAGTCTAATGGCATCTAGAAGGCTGCAACATTTCACAACTTTGATGCACACCCTGTGGCATGCCATGTTTCTCCATCACCACAATATCCCTTGAGCCGCTAATAGGCAGACAAAGAATCAGAAGCAGTCTTTGTGAGATACCGTATTTTTTGCTCTATAAGACTCACTTTTTCCCTCCTAAAAAGTAAGGGGAAATGTGTGTGCGTCTTATGGAGCGAATGCAGGCTGCACAGCTATCACAGAAGCCAGAACAGCAAGAGGGATTGCTGCTTTCACTGCGCAGCGATCCCTCTTGCTGTTCTGGCTTCTGAGATTCAGAATGTTTTTTTCCTTGTTTTCCTCCCCCGAAAACTAGGTGTGTCTTGCGGTCTGGTATGTCTTACAGAGTGAAAATACGGTAGTCAATCTGTTAGAAAGTTCCTTTTAAAGGTGTACTTTTTAATTTGCAAACTGTGCTTGACAGATTGCGCACGGTTGCCAAACATTAAAATGATGGTGGTGATGAGTGCTATATAGAAGTGCATTGTTCTTTTAATGCGGCCTTTTCTGAAGGAGTGATACGTCATCTCTTTCCTCGTGGAGTTTGACGGGTCTTTGTCTCTGAGATCCTCCTGTAGGAAAACCGTTGCACCATCTGCGCTGCAAACTCCACATCTCAGGGTTCCTAGAGGCAGAGATCAACTTGTGACCCTTCCAACTTTAGTTCCTACCCCTGTCTTCGTTTGACATGTCTGGTATTTCCTTAGGCATTTATCACAGCTGTCATCCTTGTAGCTATTCCAGATGCCTTGAAGGAAGAGGGGAAAACATACGCACACACACTGTTCTGACTTGAGGGCACACCTCCTGCAAACTTTCAGAGATTGTATCCAACTTAAGATGGGGTTTTGTTTGTTTGTTTGGCCAATCTTTGAATAGGGAAAGCTTTTCATTCTACCCTGAGGAGCAGCTTATTATGTCACATACATCACACTTTGATTTAGGCCTGCACAACCTGGGACCAACAGCGTTGGTAAGCTGGAATTTCTTAGGCATGTTTTCTGGAGGGGAAGAAAAGGCAATTCCTTCCTTTTCTCTCCTTCACCTGTAGAAAAAGAAAGCCACTTTGCAGAATGTTCTCTAAATATTCCCCACCATTCTTGGCAGCTGGTTTCACCACCACATACATGCACAACACCATGGCCAGACAGTCAACACAGTTGCAGCTGTTGCCAAGTGCAACAGCAACAACAGAAACCCACAAAATGGAAGGAAGAAACTGTCCTGCTGATGATTATTTTCAAAATAATTGAAAAATGCAGCTACTGCTGGAGAAATTCACTGTGATCTGCCTCCCTCCTTACTCTGATCATGAACAGAGTGGACAATTTTGAGGTGGAATTTCACACACAGCTCTACTAAATGCAACCCCCTAGTCCTCTACGCTAGCCTCCTGGTACTTGATTAAGCCCCCTTGATTTTGTAGCTGAAGGCAGCTGGCAAACCCCAGAGATTTATGAAACCCCAAATGCCTTGTTCTGCTGTGTTCAGGTTGGCGCAGTCACATGTCATGCAAGCATGTGTTGAAACCCCTCGTTCAATTGATAAAAGGATTATATAATCTTCCATCACAGCTCTTCACTGTAAATCCATATGCAAAACAGCCAATAGATTACACTAGGTTCATATAAGAAAGGTGGCAGGTTTGATCCAGGCTTTCAGAGTTCTGCTTACAGAATGCTCCTGCTGGAATAGCAGCTGATTTCTCTTGTTCTGTGGGACATAGGAATGTAGGGTTATAGCACATGCATGGGAGCACTGACTGATTGCAGTGTGAGATTGGGTAGGAAGCACATCTGTTTCTTCCTGCAGTCTCTTCAGATGACCACCTCCTCCTCCTCCTCCTCCTCCCTTCAGTGTGGTGTAGTGGTTAAGAGCGGTAGACTTGTAATCTGGGGAACCGGGTTCGTGTCTCTGTTCCTCCACATGCAGCTGCTGGGTGACCTTGGGCTAGTCACACTTCTCTGAAGTCTCTCAGCCCCACTCACCTCACAGAGTGTTTGTTGTGGGGGAGGAAGGGAAAGGAGAATGTTAGCTGCTTGAGACTCCTTCGGGTAGTGATAAAGCGGGATATCAAATCCAAACTCTTCTTCTTCTTCTTCTCCTCACCTTTTTCCATGACAGGGACTCAAATGTAGCATTGCACTCACTTTCTCCATTCTAAACTAGGCTGATTAGGATTTTGATTGGCCACGGGACATCATTTTTAGCCATGTAGTATCACTTTGAGTAGTGATTGATTCTGATTTGGCAGCTTTGTTAATGCAGTTTTAGTGCAACAGGAGCATTGTGCAGGCATCTGAGGAATGGTGTTAGAGTACCCTGGAAGGGTTGAGTGAATCTGTCAATCCAGGTTACTCTCAGTTTCTCAGTTTCCCATTTCCACATCAGTTTCCAATTTTTTTTTTATTAAGGGCCTCGTGAAAATTCATCAGCATTTGGCTGCAAATGTCTCATAATAGACATGTTTGCAAAACAATTCTCGCTAATATAATGCATGTTTTTCTATGTTCTTTTCACTGATATTGTGTTTTTAGTCACACTTCAGTTTCCCATTTGCATTTTGGTAGATGTTACTTGGCTGGAGAACTGCATTGCAATTTTGGTATAATTGCAAATTTTGAAGGATGGCTATCCAGTTCATGCATTGCTTCAGAAAGTGTAAATTAGGCAAGTTCATTCTTAAACAAAAACTGGATAGAATTTCTCCCCAGTCCCTGTACCTGGTAAGCACCTGGAGACTGAAGGATGCTTGCTCAACCTCCTTCCCATTGCCATTTCCCTCAAAAGGACTGGAATAAAGAGACAGACCTGAGCACCTCAAGGCCATCAAATGATGCCCAGCAAAGGTGGTTGTGGCAGACAGGGGCCCATCAGCTCATCTTTTGGTGGACAGACTATGAAGGACACATATGGACAAGACGATAATATTGGTAATGCCCACCAGCAGGAGACTTCCCAATAAGTCTAATGGTCTCAAGATGGTGCCTGCAGTTCGACTTATTTGTCACGTATGTTGCTGAGCCTGTTGAATATTTAATAGTTGTGACTTCTAGCCAAATATATCATCTTGTGTCTTCTTTCTTGGTTGGAAGAAAGAAACAAAAAGCCTGGAGCAACTTATGCTATTCTGCCAATAGTCTCCCAGTTATTTCCAAGCACATGTTGGAAAGATACATGGGCACATTACAACATGCACATATCCAACCTTGCAAAGGCATTGTGTATCCAAAACATGTTGTTGAAATCAGCCTTCTTTTTCTCATCCAAGCTCCAGCAAAACACTCTGAAATGGCTAAAAGTGGCAAACAGAACTCTGTTTGAAAGCACTGACAAATATATGAGCAAGATCGCTTTGGCCATGGTTGTAAAAGAAGAGTTATGGATTGGGCATTATGGAAATACAATTTTGCAGTACAGTTCTGTTCCCATTTCAGCCACATGTCTGCAAATTGGCCGCCATTTGCAGTGATTTTCATAAACGGCCAGAGTCTCTCTGCAAGAGTGTCCATCAACAACCTAGTTATATTTAGTGTACCGGTCATTAAGGCAGCTAGGCAGCACTCGAATTTGTTGCCAAAGGGAGATAATTGTTAAAGATGTGGTTTTACGCAGGAAGCGAAAAATGTAAAATAAATAAATTTTGCTAGGCAAATAGGGGAAGCTGTGAGCTTATTATCCTTCTATAACAATATTTTATTTGCAACACTAACAAAGGTATTTAAAAGATCCTGACTTCTGCTAATGTTATGCCAAATGAAGCTACCTTATACAAAGTCAAATTATTTTTCCCATCTAGTCCCATATTGTCTTTTTTGACTGACAACAGCTCTCCAGGTGTTTCATGCAGAAGTCTTTCCACATCACCTGTGAACTGTTCCTTTAAATTGGAGGTGCCAGGGATTGAACTTTTGAATGCAAAGCATGCCCTCTGCTACTGAGATACCTGCTTTTCCCAAAGAGCAAGTTTTACACTGAAGGAGACACTCCCCAGGGGCAGAGGAGAGAGAAAATGGCTACGGAGTGGTAAAGATAGAAGTTTAATATGCATAAAATATAATGTTTGCATGTGCTGTGTTTGAAAATCTTTTGCAGAAAGAAGTTTGCATGGGGCACAGAAAGTTTCACTCTGGCAAATATGGCAGAAAAGGTTAGATGTTTCCATTTCACAGTCTTTAGGCTAATTGATGGCTCATCCTGGAAACCGGAGCTTCAGATCTCTCACAGGAGGAAGGTGAAACTTGAGACCACAGTATCTGCATCAGTGATGGAGCCAGCAGCAACAGTAGCTGTAGTGGCTAAGCTCCAAGATGATGAAAAAGCAAGTTGCTTAGGAACTTGCTCTCTGAGACCAGAGAGAGGAAAGTTCATAGAATCTTAGAGCTGGAAGCGACCCAAGAATCATCTAGTCCAACCCTCTGCAATTTAGGAATCTCAGCTAAAGCATCCATGACAGATGGCTGGCCAACCTTTGCTTAAAAACCTCCAAGGAAGGAGAGTCCACAACCTCTCGTGGGAGTCTGTTTACTGAACAGTTTTAAGGACTTAAAGAAGATGGGACCACACTGCTGTTAAAGACCAAATGGGTTACTTTGTAAAGTTTGTTTGTAACTATTCTAAAACAGTTTCCAGTAAAGCTTTGAAACACATTCTTGTGGATTCATGACTACTCTGGCCTAGGGCTGGGCAATAGCAGGTTTTCAACATTGTGATGTATCACCAGGTCAACATTGTGATGTTGTGATACATCACAATGTTAAAAAGGAAGCAGCATCGGTCCTGGCCCTGCAAGGCACTGGGGTGAAGCCACAGCCACTCCCTCCGCTGCCAGAAACCGGCACAGGGAGAAAGGAGGCAGCCTGCCTGCTTGGCTGGAGAACAGAGGCAAGGTGTCACCAAATAACTTGGTTCTTCTGACATCTGGAGAAGACTTTCAGTAAGACACGTTGGAGACCAGATCTGGGTTTACACACCTTTCATGTAACATTTCAAATAGTCAAGTGTACATTAATACATTGGTACCAAGAGGTTCAAACACTTACACATTCATTCATCCATACTCACAAGGCCCTTCACATGGGTTGATCGTGCCTCACACAAGAGCTGTGGGAGTCAAGCTGTAGCTCTAGTCCTGGAACACTGAGGGCATGTAGAAAGTCCTTTTTATAGTCTTCTTCCCCCATTGCCGTCTGTGGGCTGGCTTGGAGAAGGATTAAATCTCCACCGCTCTCCTCCTGCTCTCATCCTGGACCACCATCAAGAAAGCCCTTTTCAGTCATACCTCAGAGCAGACAGACAGTATGTTCCATACCTTTATCTCATGTCCGTGGCCCATTGCCAGTTCCTCCCTGTTTTTGTCTGGGTTTTTTTACTTTTCGTAAACAACAGCCTAAGACAACACCACAGTCATTCCTCTTTGATTTCTCACTTCGCTTACCGGCATATCGTGCCTTGTGAATTCTCCATCTCCTTTTGGGCCCAACGTTCATACTATTCATGACAAAGGTGCTGGCTGCCAGGCAAGCCCTACTTGTGATATACCACTGGGTGAAAACGCCATTGTAACCTGACCCCCAAACCAGTCCTGGACAATGTATCAATACACCATCCAGACCAGGCTTCCTCAACCTTGGCCCTCCAGATGTTTTTGGCCTACAACTCCCATGATCCCTAGCTAGCAGGACCAGAGGCCAGGGATGATGGGAATTGTAGTCTCAAAACATCTGGAAGGCTGAGGTTGAGAAAGCCTGATCCAGACCTACTCTGCACAAGGTCAAGGCCAGGGATTTTGTTGCAGGAACTCCAGCATGAACCTCAGTCCTGCCCTACGTTATTGGCATTGCTGAGATTGCTAGGCAAGTAACCTGGACCTCCGATAATGGCTCTTCTAGCTTGGGTGAAGGCTTTGGAGGTATGTGTGGGTGTGTAGATACTAGCATACCACATAAAATATATACTGCTCTTCCCACTTTTGCTTCTGGCCTGGCCCATTTCTGCTATGTGGCTCTCAGAAAGGAACGTGACTGAAAAATACCCCCCACATCTAGTATATAGGATTGTTGTTGTTTAGTCGTTTAGTTGTGTCCGACTCTTTGTGACCCCATGGACCAGAGCATGCCAGGCCCTCCTGTCTTCCACAGCCTCCCGCAGTTTGGTCAGACTCATGTTTGTAGTTTCGAGAACACTGTCCAACCATCTTTTCCTCTGTCGTCCCCTTCTCATTGTGCCCTCAATCTTTCCCAACATCAGGGTCTATTCCAGGGAGTCGTCTCTTCTCATGAGGTCGCCAAAGTATTGGAGCCTCAGCTTCAGGATCTGTCCTTCCAGTGAGCACTCAGGGCTGATTTCCTTCAGAATGGATAGGTTTGATCTTCTTGCAGTCCATGGGACTCTCAAGAGTCTCCTCCAGCACCATAATTCAAAAGCATCAATTCTTCAGCGATCAGCCTTCTTTATGGTCCAGCTCTCACTTCCATACATCACTACTGGGAAAACCATAGCTTTAGCTACACGGACCTTTGTTAGCAAGGTGATGTCTCTGCTTTTTAAGATGCTGTCTAGGTTTGTCATCACCTTTCTCCCAAGAAGCAGGCGTCTTTTAATTTCATGACTGCTGTCACCATCTGCAGTGATCATGGAGTATATAGGATAGGTTTTGTAAAAAAAATATTGTATGCTACATGGGGGATACCAATGGATGTGTTTAAAGTAGGGGTCGACAAACTAAGTTCCATGGGCCGGATCCAGCCCAATTGCCCCCAGGATCCAGCCCACAAATGGTTCTGCAATTGCCGATTGGATCAGTGAACCAGCCCCCTCCAAAAAAAGTTTGCTGACCCCTGGTTTAAAGTGTTACATCGGGCGGGGGGAGTCAGGACTGTAAAACACTTTGCATCATGGCCAAACTATAGGTAAAAGGTAAAGGGACCCCTGACCATTAGGTCCAGTCGTGGCCGACTCTGGGGTTGCGGCACTCATCTCATTTTATTGGCCGAGGGAGCCGGCGTACAGCTTCCGGGTCATGTGGCCAGCATGACTAAGCCGCTTCTGGCGAAACCAGAGCAGCGCATGGAAACACCATTTACCTTCCCGCTGGAGCGGTACCTATTTATCTACTTGCACTTTGACGTGCTTTCGAACTGCTAGGTTGGCAGGAGCTGGGACCGAGCAACGGGAGCTCACCCTGTCACAGGGATTCAAACCGCCGACCTTCTGATCAGCAACTGATCAGCAATGGCCAAACTATACATGCCATTAAATCAATAACTGGCCCTTTTGCATAAGCTTTTCCTTTCATATATTTTCAGTATGAGGACCCCGATCTGGTAACGGTCCCTGCATGGTGGTGGTATCTTTTATTTTTATTTTAACTTTTCCTCTGCTGTGGTTGAAATATGAATTTGTCTCTTCATTCCTGCAATTTGCACAGGAGGGAAAGCTCCTATTGAGACGGGGGGCGGGGAAGCTTTCCCTCCATACAAAATGGAAGTTTTCCCTCCCTCGGTGCTTATTGGGACCACAGGAGGGGGCAAAAGCCCCACCCCTACCCCCCTGCTGATTTGGATCTGAGTTGGTGAGGGCACACTGACAATATCTTATGAAGTAAAAGCTTAGAACTCGGAGATCAACTTTGCTCTGTCTGTGCTGGAAATGTTGCTACTATTCTGTTCCAAGGGACTCAGATGCCAGCACCAAGAGATCTTGGTCCTATAAAATGAACGGGCTTAAAAGTAATTTGTGTTTTTTAGGAGGTGAAGCATCTAAAAGTCATGGTGCTCAGACGACAAACACCTACAATTCTAGTTTATTGTTTTTCTTGGAAATGCCAAACTCGCGCATGTTTTTAAGACATCACCGAAGCCATATATTTCAGTTCTCTCCTAGGCTTAAACATTTGCCTGTTCCAACTTGTGGTTGATTCTGAGCTGCAAACAGCCTGACAGTGTGGTGCAGCTGTCAAAATAAAAAGTAATTTAAAGTGCTGCAGAGACATAAACCCTAAGCATAAAAAAAGCAGTCCCAAACAATTCGAAGACATGGCAGGCAGAATTAAGCAGAATCCAATTGCAGTGATTCAGATCGAAATGTCGAGTTTATTAAATACTGCTATACTATAGAGCAGCAGCTAAAATTTAGCCAATAAATTTGGAAATATTTGATTCAGCTGAGTCAAATATTCCCTGATTTTGATATTCGAAGGCAGCACATGTGTGGCATTGTCTTTCTCTTGCGGTTGCTTCTTCACTTTCTTTGACATCACCCTCATTTACCCACACTTCCACTTAATGATTTGTTTGGGTTGCCAACCCCATCAGATTAAAGAACTGCATGAGCAAATGCAGTTGGCATCACTGAGAACAAAGGAAGAAAATGCACATGGAAGAACATTGTTGATAGATAGTGGATCTTCTTAGCAGGTGTCACCCTCCACACACACAAAAAACACACGCACAAATGTCACCAAATGCTCCCTGACAAACATATTCAAACAAAAACTTGTGCATTTTTATTTTTCGTTTTGATACAGGGGGTGAAATTTTCACAGAAAATGCTACAGTCCTAAACATAGTCACTAGGGAATAAACCCCACTGGGTGCCTACTCCTGAGTAAACATGCATCAGATTGCACTGTGTATTTATTAATCTTTATTTTATTTTATAGTCTTCAATTCTAGGGCTTCTTCAGTGCAATTATGGGGATTCAGAATTCAGGAATCATGTAACAAGCATGATGAGGTTTGCTTATGACATGACATTACTGAGGGCAAACAAAGCACTTGCATGGAGCTTTGAGGCTAGAAGGGGAGAGAATCGATTCAAAAAAGATCTCACCCAATAGGTGTGGCTACCAGAAAGGGGTAGTTGCACCATTCACATACCCCCACCTCGCTATTAGAAAGTCTGTGTTGCCAGAAAGCTCCATAACTTAGCATAAAGCTCCACACAGTTAGTTCTTCCTACTCCTGATTTCTTTGTAATTAAACATAACAAAAATTGTGGCTACTCCGGGTCTTGTCTGATGATGCTGGTGCACATTGACAAACCGGAGAATGCCCAAAAGGCAAGTTAAATCAAAGATGTCACTTCACTGGGATAACAATAACTGCTGCTGCTACTCTTCCTTATGAAGTGACTGTAGACCAGAGAATGGGAAGGTGTGGCCCTCCAGGTGTGATTGTACTCCAACTTCCATCAGCCCCAGCCAACATGGCCAATGGTTAGGGATGGTGGGAAGGGGAGTCCAGCAGGACCTGTAGGATCGCAGGTTCATCATCCATGCTACAGACCAAAAGAAGAAGAAGAAGAAGAAGAAGAAGAAGAAGAAGAAGAAGAAGAAGAAGAAAAAGAGTTTGGATTTGATATCCTGCTTTATCACTACCCTAAGGATTCTCAAAGCAGCTAACAATCTCCTTTTCCCTTCCTCCCCCACAACAAACACTCTGTGAGGTGAGTGAGGCTGAGAGACTTCAGAGAAGTGTGACTAGCCCAAGGTCACCCAGCAGCTGCATGTGGAGGAGCAGGGAAGCGAACCCGGTTCACCAGATTACGAGTCCACCGCTCTTAACCACCACACCACACTGGCTCCAGAGGTGTAGCATGGGTTGCCATTGCCCGGGGCCGCTTAGAGTGATGGGAGGAATGGAAATGGATAGAGCACACATGCACATTCAGCTACCTAACAGCATCCACAGAGATCACAGTTGCAGAGCTAAGAAAAGAAGAGTCATTCCAATGTTTGGAGAGGTCACTTCCTGGTTTACATTGAGAAGTTTTTTTTTCAATGGAGCCCAGTGATGGAAGCATGCAGCTGCACTGTGGCAGCACTTCTTGTTGGAATTTTGCGCTCCTAAGAATTTCGCACCTGGGGCAATTATCCCCCCCCCCAACACACTATGTCACTGTTGTAGACCATTGTCTTGGGTGGTGGTTGTTTTCCTCCATTGCCTTTGGTTTGGTGGCGTTTTCTCTCCCTGCCCCCCATCTCCTCTTCCCAGCACTAGACACATCGTTTCTGGAACTGTAAATGTCTCATGAAGAAATGTATTGAATCCCAGACTGAAATGCGACTGGTGAGTGTAGCACACATGAAAAATTGAATATGGCTGTATGAAAAATGAGAGAACAAATGAAATGAAGCAGAATGCTCCTTACAAAACAGACATAAAGAACTTAGGATTTGCCAGCTATTGGGACACAGCAAACCCAGGAGGCATGTATATATGTATGTATGTATGTATGTATGCATGTATGTATGTATGCATGTATGTTTGTATGTATGTATGTATGTATGTATTTTACTTATGGGCACTGCCAAGGTAATTACCAAGACAGCTTGGAGATGTCTCTTGGCAAATGCCAATTTTAGTAGCTACCAGACTAATTAAGCTGGGAAATGGCCAGAACTCCCAAGTTAAACTGTCTATTATAACAAGTCTTATTAGGATTTAACAGTGGCAAAGCAATCAGAGATTATTGCAGTGGTGTCACA